ACTTAAAAAAAAAAAAAAGGTGTTTTTGATTAGCATTATTATCTTTCTTGACTTTGCTCACCTCTGAAGAGACCAGAATAAGTCAAAATTCAAAATTCACTACCAAATCTTTGTAGATAACCCTGAGAATGTCTTATGAAATTCCTCTTATTACTTCTTTTATTTGCTGAAAGCACAATGAATCTGAACATCCCTATAATTTCTGATTGAATTTGTAGCTGATGACATAGAGCATTGTGACAAGTTTATATCTAAATTTTGTGTAGAACATGGGGCACCAGCCCACAACATATTTTATTCCATAAACTTAAATTAGTTCATTCATAAAATAAGTTTTCCAGCATTAGGTCTGTAAGTATCAACTATTTGGAAAGGAGAAAATAAATACCAATGTTTAATAAATACACAGTGCACTAAGATTGCATTTATAGTATTTTGACATTTTTATAAAGAGGTCTTTGGAGCTTGGACAACAACTGAGGCAGGTAAATTTCCTTCATTGTGAAAGGATCTGGTATTTAGTTTATGGGAAGCAGGCCTGAGCAGATGTGAAAAGTTCAAATAAAGGAAGGCTAGATAAAACGCACTTTTGTGGCTGGAAAATCAAAACAGATGTTATTATTCAACCACAAAAAAATCTATTTGCACTTAAGTAGCATTAGGTGTCTGACTAGTTACATTTTTTTTTTTTTTAGTGAAAACAACAAAATGATTATAAAATTATATAGGCTGATAAAGTACTTTAAAATGTTACCAGTGGACTGAATAATCAGCTAATACAAAAAAAACAGAGCAGATCTTACAAGACCAATAGAAATATGAGTGAATCTATTTTTGAAAGGAAAATGAAGAAAGGAGCAACAAAATTGAATGGACTCTGCTCTCTGAACCCCTGATGTACATCAGAGAAATGGTGATTTAAGATGGGTGGATTTTACACTGCCCATAATCTTTTCTGGAGACCTGCCCATCTGGAAAGGTTGATGCTGGCAGAGGATGACAGGTGCTGGAGATCCTCAGGAGCCCTTGACAACAAGAAAACACTTGCAGGGTGTGAATGTTGCCAAATAGTCTTGCAAATTATTTCTGATGAAAAGAAAATTCAATTTGGTTTCAGAAATGTACATGTCAAAGGAACACCTAAAGTAGTATAGGAGAACCAAAATGGGTATTTCTGTCTGTGAAAACCTGCTCTTGTGGGCAATGGATATAACCTTTTTTTTTTTTTCTTCTGGAAAGCTGATCTGATTCATAGAGACTTTGTTGGCCTCACATATTTCGGCTCTTGATATAGAACTTTTCTACTCTTGCTTGCTGGGAGTCAGAGGTAAATTAAGAGTAGATCCTGTTGGCTTCCTAGAGTTGGTAAAACTTGTCAGGAAACTGGGGCTTGCTGGCTGTCCCTCATCAAAGGGAAATGCAGTCTAGGACATTTTTATCTCAAGAATGGCAAAAGAGAGGACAGAGCTGCTTTTTATTTGAGTTGCTGCAGGAACTGAGTGTTTGCATGGTTGGGAGGATGTTGTGTAACAGCACAGCTTTTCCCTGTTTGCACTGTTATTCAGTATTTGATCATTGCTCCTCTTCCTTGTCTTCAGCACCCCCAGCTCTGGTCCCTGTTAACATCCCATCTCACATCCAGGCCACCCTTCCAATTCTGCTTCTTTCCCTAAGGTGCCCTGCTCTGGGAGATGGAGAATTGAGGGAAAATGCACATGGATCTGCTCTAAGAACTGGATTTTCAACACAGAGATGAGTGGTATAACCAAAGTTTGGCTATCCCACCTCAGGATTAGGGTTAAGGGCCTTGCTCAGTGAACTGGTAGCTCATTTATTCTCTGCCTGAATGTCCCTAGAGCCCATTATTGCTATGCAGTCTCCTCTCTCTGTGGTTAATAGTTATCAGTGATAATTCCTCTCAATATCTTGGATTTTAGGAAAAAAAGCCTTGTATCTCCTCCATCACCCAGGAGATTCCAAATCTCCACTTTTCCCTTATTTAAAATGCAGGGATGCCAGAGGCCACACCTTCTGGAGAGGTGAGTGCTTAGCCATGATTCATTCATTTATAAACCTGTTGTCCTTGGGAAGAGTTCAAAACTGTAAAAAACCCACCCAAAAGTGAAAAAAACCCACTCAAAACATGATTAAATATTAATTGTAAAGGTGAATGCCTGGTTAGCTTTCAGGCAATGTCAGGTCTTAAAGTTGAAAATCAAAAGGTTTCTAAAGATCTGAAATTCCTATTAAAACCTGTGGTTTAGCAGCCTAAATCCAATTGAAATGCAGTGTAATTAAGACTTCCAAGACACTTGGGGTTTGTTTCTAAGAAATTATGACCTGTAGGCAACTTGCAGCATTTTCAAGGGACTATGTAATTTTAAAACTATGAATACTGGTCATTTCTGTCAGGGACCTTAGAAAACCCCGGTTAAAATGCATATTGCTTAAGAAAAAAAATTTTTTTGTGGCACCAAGACCCAGCTTCTCACTTGAACAGGCCTTTCACATTCTCACTGGGATTGTTGTTGAGATATTCCTGTGAAGGTGGGAAAAATATGATGTGAGAAAAGGTAGTGGGACCATTTGTCTTTGACTTCTTTCCTTATGGAGATGCTCAGTATCCCACTGATGCAAAAAGGGTCGGAGAGAGCAAAATGTGCAAATAATTTAATAAAGAAAAGAATTGTAAGAGAGAAACTCACCAGAGTAAGGACAATAGAGTACAAAATGCCATAAAAGATAATAGGCTTAGATGAATTGGCATGTGTTAGTGATTATGCAATCATTCATTTCCCACAGATTTCTTTTTATAGGAAACCTTGGAAAATCCCTGAAGAACTGACCAAGTCGTTTAACCACAACAGGTTTCTTTTCAACATGGCTGGGAGTGGGCGAGGAATATTTTCACATGTTTGTGCACCCTTGGCTTGTTGGGAAGTGCTGGAAGGAGCAGCACAGAAGTCGCTGTGGGACGGTGATTCAGCCCCACGGCGAGTGGGTCCTGCTGCCACCCTCCACCTGGGGACCAGGCAGCCCAGAGCCAAGTGGGAACACTCTCATGGCATCAGGAGCTTTGAGGTTTGGTCCGTGGCTGATGAGACAGGCGCTGCAGAGGCTGAGGAGAGGGATTTTTTGCTCCAGAGAGCGTTCCCAGATCCGGGCTGGATGTGAATCAGCTGAGCTCTCCTCGGTCACTGGCAGAAGTAGTCGTTTGCTTCCTTGCTGTCAGAGGCTGCTTAAATACTTGTGCTTCTGACAACAATTTTCCTTCACCACTGGGCTAAGGAAAACAAGACCTTGAGCTGCACTTCTGAGTTTCTTAAAGATTTGTTTTTCTCCTTTCTTTTTTTTTCTTTTTCTTTTTTTTTCTTTTCAAACAGGCAGTTTTCCTTGTGTTCTTCAGAGCAGCTTCCCACATCCCTGCTGCTTCAAGATGTGTCACTGGAGGAGTCACCCTTCACCCTTGCTCCAATCCCAACCCCCTCATGTGTGTGACATCTCCCTCAGATTCTCCTTCTGCTAAAACTTCCTGGTGCTGGACTCGATGATCCTGGTGGATCCTTTCTGATCTGGGATACTCCATGACTCCACCACTTCCTCTGCTCAGCCCCGTGGAACAAACATGCCCAAGCCACAGTGGTGAAGGGAGGAAATGAACAGGTTTGTAGAATTTCATGGAGATTTGTGGCCCCAAAAAATGGCACCCTGGATCAAGGAAAGTAAAATGGGTTTAATCACACCCATAAGAACCTTCAAAGCATAAATTTGCCAGTATCACTCAAATTATCTTAGTTGGTGCAAGGTGTTATTCTTTTTTCCTTATAAGTAGAAATATGAAATGGTGAAAGACTTTGCGCTCCAAGTCATTTTAAAAGAATGAAAAATAAAATCATTTGGAGGATCTGGATCTCCCTCATGTTTCAGCTTTCAAATCCAGAATTCTTATGTGTGAGAGATGTCATAAATCAAAACCATTCACCAGGTTACAGACATTTCTGAATATGAAGTAGTTTATTATTAGAAAAAAACCAAAACAAAACAAAAGAAAGCTTCCACTAAATCCTGCAAGTGATTAAAAATGGTCATTAAGAGCATTTGCAAATATTTATCTTAGCTTAAGTTAGATGGGCACAATTCTTACTGAGCCATGATTTTTTTTTCCCTTTAGCTACATTACTATGTCAACTCTGAATAGCAATGTTTTTATTTTTAAGATGCATTGTCTCTCTTCCCAGTTTCAGCTCTCTTCTGTTAGAGTTTGACCTGCAGTACTTGGATAAAAAAAATTAAAACAGGATGAGGGGCTGTCCTAGAGAGTTTGATCAACCCCTTCTCAAAACACCAATACCTCACTTAATCCTTCCCTTTCCTTCAAAATATCAGCAAACAACATCAAAACCAGCTTGCTGTCCTCTGCAACAGGGAGGGCACCTGATGGTGGAGCTCATCTGGTGGCTTTGGGTCACCAACAATGGTCCAGAGTCGAGAGTTGTGCCTGAGTTTGTTTCTCCCAAAGTATCTGAGCTGATCACGGTTGCATGAAATAAGAAAATCAGTCAGCTCCAGTTGGCTCAGGGCAGAGCTTCTAAAAGAGAAAATTTCTTGACAGTCACACAATAAATTTTAAAAAGTTGTCATCAGTGAAAGCTGCGCATGATGGTTCTCACCTACGTTTGATCAAAAATGGCTCATGATTTCAGGTTCCTTTGAATTGGTCACTGAAAATGGTGCTGCTATTTCTGCTCCTGTTTTAGTGTTCTTAGAATCATAGAATGCTTTGGGTTGGAAGGGACCTTAAAGTTCATCTTATTCCAGCCTTCCTGCCAGGGACAACTCCCATTATCCCAGGCTGCTCCAAGCCCCATCCAAATCTGGCCTTGGACACATCCAGGGATCCAGGGACAGCCCCAGCTTCTCTGGGCACCCTGTGACAGGGTCTCACCATCCTCACAGGGAAAATTGCCTCCTAAAATCTAATCTAAATCTACTCTTCTTCAGCTTAAAGCCATTCCCCCTTGCACAAAATCCCTTTCTAGTTCTCCTGAAATCCCTTTAAGCGCTTGAAGTGGCTCTAAGGTCTTCCCAAAACCTCTTCTCCAGGCTGAACAACCCCAACTATCTCAGTCTGTTGCCACCCTTCAATCTTTCCATGTTTTTTACCTGTGATTACAGTCTCTGTGCATGCCCTCAGTGGCCAGGATGCCAAGTTTAAAGCCTTTTGCAAATATTTCTGAAATATTTTTGCAGTTAGAAAATACAGATGTAAGATAAACTCTGAGCTGACCATCATGTTTCCTTCTACAGGACATGGACACCAGCCAGAGTTCCTCTTGCAGCAGTGCATTGAACCAATCAATTTCTGTGATTTTGAAGCAGTGTTAATCTAAAGCAACGAGTTCTGAATAATGTTTATTAACTATATTTTAATGACTTGTCAGTTTTCTAAAACACATGCTGAAGTATTTTAGAAATCACTTAGTAAATGCAGTTTTAATTCTGCTCCCATATTCATGGGCTGCTACTTACTTTATAAAAAAAAAAAGAGATTAGAAGGTTCAGATTTGAAGCAGCAAATTGCTCTGCTAATCTGCAGGTATTTCTCTCCTTGATACAGCCACTAATGTCTAATCTTAGCAACGCAGGCTCCATCATTGTGCTTTTTCATTAGAGCTGCAATGAACTGTGTGCCAGGGACTTGAACTCTGGTGACAAGCTGCTCCGAGCCTGCGAGCTTTCCCAGGAAAATGTTCTGTGTGAGTCTAAAATGATCCTGTTAAGTTTGTGTAAAAGATGGGGAGTTCACCTTGTGAGCTCTGGTAGGAGCAGGGTGCCTGTGAACCTCTGGGCAGCGTGGGGTTAGGGCTGGCCACAGACAGGAGTCTATGCCATGAAAAATTTTCAAGACTTTTAATTTGTTTCCATTTCTCATGAGACACAAAAAAGAAAACCTTGAGAATTATATATTTTTTTTTTCCTGCATAATGTCGTGGAGCAAGTCTATGGAGCACATCTTTCCCTCTGGATGCTGTCAGCAGTGCTGGGAATGTCTTCAGAGTTGGGATTTGGACCTGGACCTCCCGCCATCCCTGGGCGTGTTCATCAGGCTATGGGTGAGTCTGGATTGGCTTCCTCTGTCTTTCCTCTGGCTATCCAAGCCCCTCATACCAGACTTAAAATCCTGGCAATGACATTTTTTGAGAAAAAGCTACATCTCTGTGAAAGTTTCAATGCTATAATAATTTTTTGATCATCTGGAGTTTTGGTGAACTCTTTTTGCTGGCGGTTTTAATGTTTGTGACTGGTCTGTGACCTTGGTGTTATGATGTGCCCTTGTGTGACTCGCTGTCCCTCTTGGAGCATGGAACAGACTGGTTTTGGTACAGAACTCAGTAAAGAGATGGTAATTTTTATTTATTTCCTTATGAGTTGGGGTGTTGCTCTTGATAGGGAGTAATTTGGAATTCCTCACTTAGAGGTGAGAAGTACCTACAGGGATTTATTCCCCAGGTGTTGCTGAGCATGGAATTTTTGATAACTGCCTGTTTTCCAGTTTTTCCTGTTACTTGAGCTTTGCTTTCCTATAGTCCTGCATTGTTTCCAGTATTTCTGTGTTTCTGCAGCCAAGTTACCATGCAGACTGCTCCCAACATGCTCAGAGTTTATCCACTTCCCTGTAGAAAAATCTTCTCTATCTTTGTGGTTTTCCTCTGTCTCTATAGTCTCATAATTTTTTTTCTTCATAATCTTTCATCTTACTCATTCCAAGTATGTACTAGTTTTGATCCTCCCCTAGAAACTTATTTCTCAGTTCTTTTGCTCCTCAGACAAAGGGATTACAGATGTCTTTTGAAACCAGTGGTCATTTGACAATGGACTTTAAAAACAGTGAAGCTCTTGAGGTCCAAAATGGTGAATACAGCCCAAAATCAGCCTTGATTTAATATTTTGAACTTTGCAAGTCTAAACCTCTACTTTCTGATTTTCTCCTTGGATGTATGGCCTGCTGTATAAAGAATTCAGGATGTGGGGGGCATTGACAGAAATCACCGTCCCTTTCCAGAGCAGACTTCAAAGGAAAGCTCACTTTTCCCATTGCTTTTTATCTTTTTCCTATTTCCTAGTGCTTACTCCTTTTTTTTTTTTTTTCTTTCCATGCTGCTGTTCTAATTTTTTTTCCCACTTTTAATTTCTCTACTAACTTTAATTAGGCTCATGAGCTTGATCACCAGGTGGGTTTTCCCCAAGCTTCCACAGCAATGCTTTCCGATGAGCAGCAGGCTTGCAAGGGAATTTTGTTATTAACTGCAGATAGGAGAGAGGAGCCCAACGTGATCAGATCCGGTGTTCTCCATTGCTAAGTGTTTTTTATATCTGGTGAATTTGCCAAGAAGTGTTATATATTTAATTATTTTTAAGCAGGCAGGCTCAAAAGCCCCTGATCAGTGGGGTACCAGGGTGTGAATGAGAGAAGAAGGATGTGGTGTTAGCCAGGGGAATGATTCATACCTCTGAAGTTAACCAAATGCTCGTGTATCTCGGGGAAGTAGCTCTGCATCCTCCAATTGCCTTTTCTGGGGAAAATGCAGGGTAGGGGGAAAAAAAAGAGAAAAAAAAAAACATTAAAAAAATTCCCTGGATTCAATTCTGGAGAATTTCAGCAGATGTGAAGTTCAGAGCTAGGAAGGAAGATTGGCACACACCTTTTGGGAGTTTTGTGCAGGGTTTTCCTGGGCAGGTTGTCAGAGTGTAAGCTTTTCCTGCCTCAGATGCTAAGTAGCATAAAATATGAGCTATTGGGATAAATTGCAGTTTTTGCAGCCTTTGCTTGGTGTATTTGCATATTCAGAATCTGCCTTGGGTTTTCTTGTTTTTATCCTTATTCTTTTAAAAGTACATTTACCTGGAGAAGGGCTTAGTTCTGAGTGCACAAAATAGGCATTTTCTCTGCAGTTGACTTTAATCCTACCAAAAGAATTAACACTCAGAGCAGAAAACCTTCTTTGGGTCCTACAGGGCATAAGAACATCTCAGGTACTGGCTGCTGGTTTAATAAAAGGATAGGATTTCCATTTACTTCAGGCAGGCTTAACGTATTGTTCTTGTAGTGAGACAGTCAGAATGAGTCAGGAGCCAAAGAATACACTTTATAGACACAAATAATCGTAAATTCAGAATGTCACCTTTAGGCAGAGGCATTTTTATTATTGTTAGTGGAGCTGCTGAGTAGGTTTGATGTTTTATTCTCTTGAGTACTAAATGTTCCAGAGTACCACAGCCCTATCTTTATCAGGCTCACAAGGAGGGAGCACAGCCAAACTTGCTTCCTATACTTCTCTATGATTGATAGCAGATGGCATGCTTTAAAATAAACCTATCCATTAGCAGTCCTCAGTGTTTTTACTCAAGGCATTTACAACTGTCTCAACCAGAAAACACATTCTCTCCACAAGCTCGTTTCAGTCTGCAACAGCTGTACAGGTGCAAATCTTTCATTAACTCTTAAACCGTGGTGAAATAAATGCTGCACTGTATTTTATTTTTAGTGGAGGAGGTTGTTCTTCAGAGGCAGAGTGGATTCTGTTCTCCCTTTGCATGTGGCAGAAGTTCGTGTCAATAAACTGATGTTGAAATAAGGGAAGTTTTAATTTAATTTTTTCTTTTAAATATTTTTTTTCCTACTCCTCTGTAAACCTTTAGGATGTTCTATTGCCAAGAGATAAACGTGGCTGTCTGTAGGTATATAGAAAAACTTGGTGAAGTAGCAATACTGAAGGAATTGTCGTTCAGGGCTGGGATTCCTGTGGGACAGCAGCCACCTCCTTCCCTGTCCCTGTAGCATCAACCAGAGTGGCAGCACTGCCTGGAACCCAATGGGGGAGAGGCTGCAGGTGTCCCCCACCTCTGCCTCACAATGTTTTTTGTCTTTTTTTTCTCTATCCTGGTTTATTTGGGTTATTTTTCCCTATCGTGGTTTATTGGAGAGATGCAGAGAGGCACACGCTCACATGCCCACACACACATACATTTTCAACCTGATTCTGAGCTCGTTGCTGGCAGGATACTCCATAAATAAATTGCTAAAACCTGTCCCTCTATTCCAGTTATTTTGCCTAGATTTCTATGCTATACTCCTAAGTGCTGTTAGAATTTATCCAGCAGTCCTTCCAATACAATGAACTCCCAAGAACCTCCCCAAACATTAGTACACTGCCAGCAAGAGCTTAAAATATTAGTAGCAAATCTTTAATATTAGCATTTAGCATTAATATTAGACAAGATCTTAAAATATTAGAGCCAGATAAAAGAGTATTAGCAGGGGTATAGGAGTCATTAGGCAGAATAACCATCACTGATTAAATGGATGCTGAAACTTTAACACGCAAACCAGTGCGGATGATAAGAACTTCACAGAGACAAGAGGATCCTTTCATTTAAAAGGAAGTTGGAGAGAGGAAGGTTAGGGATTTGAAAGCTGGTAAATAAAACAACACAGCAGGAGAAGTTATATAGAACGTGCTGTCTTGTTAGTGGTGATCATGTCCTATGTTATTTTTCTTAAGCTGAAAAGATAAAACAAGAAGACAGGCAATATTCTGTCACAAATAAATGGAAATTGGGGCATTTTTTGTATAAATCCAAAGTAGCAGGAGAAAAATACAAATGTGCTCTCAGCACTGGAAGTCTGTGTAGGGTAAAGGAGGTGCTAAAATGATTTAGAATGATGGACTGCAGCTACCATGTTCCTTTTATGGCACAACAAACAAAATCCAGGGAATTTGAACTTGATGGCATTGAGCTGGGGCAGTAATGCCAACGTGGGGAGCAGAGCTGAAGTGGGGACCAGCCCCTGGTACAGCTCTGCCCTGTAAGCACCTGGAGAATTTGGTGCTAAATGAAACAGGAGGGAAAAAAACAAAGCCAGCTGTAGACATAAGAAGTTTAAGAGCATCAGTACTTGCTTCCAGCTAATCTCTCTTGATGACTCCTGTAAGCAGCCACGGCTGGTCGTTGCTGTTAATTATTCAAAGCCCCACACCAGTTTTGCAGCTGAGTGGTGTAAGAGGATGTGCAGTGTCCCCATTTCTCAGTCTGACTGGGGGAAAGGCATGAGACATCACTGAGTGACATCCTGTTTTCCACACAGGAAAGGTGAGACTGGGAGAGGCAGCAGCTGACCTCATTCCACAGCCACAGTCACCTCTTCCTGGAGGGTCTGATGAGCTGGATGCAGGGCAGGACTCATCAGGGTCATGTTGTATCTTAAAACTATGAGTGGGATGGCTTTTTCTGAAGGTTCAGGACTGCATTCTTGCATGTAGATTAATAATCCAAAAGGCACATAATTGCACTCATTAGTGCTCCATCAGAGGAGGAAACAAAGAGAAGAGCTGACACCTCAGGATCAACATGGGGTCCACCATATCCTCAGGCTGCCAGACACCAAAAGGTCAAGACTGTGCATGTTTTCCCCTGTAAGAAAGATGGGAGCAAATTTTTAGCAGGACCTGTTGTGATAGGAGGATGAGGGATAAACTGAAAGGGGGTTGGTTTAGCCTGGAAATAAGGAAGTTTTAATAAGCGAGACAAAACAGTGAAGGAGGTTGTCCCGAGAAGTGGTTGGCTGCCCTGCTCCTGGTCTAGTTAAAGATGTCCCTGTTTGTTGGAAGGAATTTGGACTAGATGGCCTTTAAAGGTCCTTATCAGAAGATACAGAAAAAAACTATTCCCAGAAAACAATCTGCTCCAAAAGGATCTGTTCTAGAGACAACAGCATTGGTATGTGGGATGGGTGTATAAATTTTCAATTTCATTATAACAAATAGAACTTATTTCATTATAGCTTTTGGAGCTGCTGGTGGATTTCTTTGTGTGAAACTGGCTTTTTCTTTGTTGCCCAGGACTGCTCCTATCCACACAGACAGATCCTTTAGCCCGAAGGAGAAAGTCTAAAACACTTGTCAAAGATGGCTGCTCCTTTTGTTCCACTGGTGTTTTGGGGGAAGGTATCTCAAGTCCATTCCTGACGTGATTAGGAGCTTGCTGAAGAAAGCTGTGCATAAAATATCTTCTTCAGTAAGCAGAATCTGGTACTTTTGGTTGTCACTGACCT